TAGGAATAATAAACTGGTAATTGTCTTCCTTGTAAAACCAAAAGTACAGGCAAAAAACTTGTCCAATGACTCAGGTCCTGCAGTATTGATTAAGCTCTCACTGGTTTTTTGCCCACAGTTGTGAGAAGATGCCATGCTATGTGATCCAGAGCAATTTTTTGATCTGTGGTTGTTTTTTGCTGTTCACTGTAGATTTATGCCTACGTGATTGAGAATATCAGATCAGTTCAGCTAGAAGCATTACTTCTCTCCTTGSTGAGCATTGTGGTGCTTGTTGTTGTTAAAGAACTGAATGAGAAATTTCAGAGAAACATTAAAGTTGTCCTTCCCATCGATCTACTTCTGGTAAGTACAAAATTATATATCAGGCTTTTTCTTACAGAGCTTTCAGTGGCTCAAGCAATCTGCTGAAGTTTACTGTACTGTCTGTAGCTACCCACACCCACACCTGCTGCTCATTAAATGGACAGCTGATTTTCATGGCTGTAAGTTAATTGTAAGAACAGGAAACAGTTTGGCTGAATGGTTAAGAAAGAAGTGACATACGCTCCCAATTTGTATAATATTTTTCATATGTTTACTACTTTTTACATAATCACAAGATCATGGAGGCTAGAATGTTAAAGTGTAAGAAGTTTCAAATAGAAAATGAAAAGTAACTAGCTCATTCTAACTCCAGACATGTCTTGTGCTGGGTAGTTGTAGCTTAGATGCTGCTTGTTATTTACCTACAACAAAGTTAAATAGTTATGCTATTGCTTTCTACCATTCTCCTAACAGTTTTCCTTTAACATGGTATAGACTGAATTAAAATTAGCAATTGCATTATAAACCCCTGCCTTAAGGTTTAAGATGTAGTCAAATGATCAGCACCATATCAGCATTAGAAGGTTTCTGGTTTTCTCTAAACCTCTAAAAGAAAATACAGAATATGAAGGACTGGTGGTTTTCAGGGTGTATTATCACAATTACTCTTCTTTTACTGGAAAAAAATATTTACGAGGGTAAAATGCTGGAAAAGGAGGTAGTGTGGTCCTGGTCTTTGTGTTACCTTTTTAAGAATATTGGATAAAATGTACCAACAAACTAAGGATTGYGGACTGGAACCCATACCTGTTCTATCTGGACTGTGTGTTCATCTCATAAGAAATACAGGAAATGAGTTTGAACCTCCACAGGCTCAGAGAACACCAGCTGAATCAGACCACTCAGGARCACCTCAATTATGAACTACTTTAAGCTGCTCCCATGAATGGCAGTGCTCTGGGGCATGTGCTGAATAGAGAGACCTTGGACACTGATTGGCAAAGTTCCTGAGGCTTTGMAGAGAGTCATGCAAATCTCTTTCATTAACACAGAATGTATAAACTGCACTATGGTCTCATTCCATTATCTGTCCAAATCATAGTTTCTTTTGACTCTT